ACACACACACACACACACACTCACTCACTCATATTATCGTCAATTCCTGGGAGGTTAAATTCCTTGTTCATTCATTATCGTGTGTGTCACGCTCCCACTCCATGAGAAAATTAAATCCATACCTTAGAATTACATAATTCTGTCTGCTTAGTACCTAGTTTCGAGACATTTGTCGTGAAAAATTTGCAATTTCACAACATGTCACTCTTTTTCAAATGGAATTCCCTGAATATGTTGATAGCGACTCTGAATAGTCCTATAATTCTGTTAGAGCAGATAGAACATTTGAAGGGCACAAGGTTAAAACCAGCGATGTCAGTTGTTTTTTTTTCATTTTCTGGGTTTTTGCCCCAGCATGAGGCCTGACTGGGTCTGCTTTAGTACGTCTAAGTCACATACGGAAAAACCAGTGCTGCCATTTTCTGTGAGAGTTCGAAAATATAGCCCAAAATGGGAGAACCAGCGATGTCAGAATGTTTAACAACGGAACAACCAGCGATGTCAAACATACTTTTCTTTGTTGCGTCCCTTTGTGACCAATCGGTGATTATATTTCAGTGAAAAATTGTGAAATGATATGGGTTTAACGCCCCTGTCAACACCATTAGGTTATTTGAGAGGCAAGATCGTTGAGTTTTAACGTCCATCCCCGAAAGGACCGAGCCAAATAGGAAATTCCTGTAGAGTGCTTTTCCGAAGGTCACAACGCAGGACCGAGCTGAGGCTGGAATTCCTGCAGTGGTCATATATGCGCTGATAAATGGGACAATCATTCATCAAGCACCTATGTTGCGCTAACCTTTGATTTTTCGAAGAACTTGGGCTGCCCAAACATCTCAACAAACGATTTGTACTTTCGTTGGCTGATATCTCTCTTCTCCTTTAAAACCTAATCTAAGTGATGAAACAGTACATCTGTACTGTTACGAGACAGCTACAAGGGTGAAGACGATGTGGCCAGTATGCTGCTGTATTACTTTCTACACATTCTGCCAGTTGATGTGACACGTGCGCAGGCCAGAACAAGAAACAGACAATGATCTGTTTTTCTATCATGTTGTTGTCCACCAGGAAAGGTATGGAAAAGTGAAAATCTCGTTTCCAGTGAGAGGCCACAACTACATGAAATGCAACAGAGACATGGCATTGGTGAATGAGACGGTCTTTGTCGATATGCCAGCCAGTTGAGTGGAGCAATTCAAGACAGCCCTTCAAAAACTCTCGCTGGTACAGATAGTTGGGATAACACAAGCCGCATTCCAGAGTGTGCCAGAAAACTTTAAACTATACTACCATGTCTCCTGCCTTATATCCACTCGACCTCTACTTGAAATCTGCATCACAGGCCCATCCACAGCTAATGCTTTATAGAGAGAGCTGTTTCCATGGAATGGTCTGTTTGACACTGCAATCATTATGATGAAGCCGGTGGCAAAGAAGAGTGCTGCAAGACTCCAGCACCTGAAACGCCTCTATAAGAGCCCGCTGACCATCAGAGCCAAATATGCAGACACGAAGGTCTTAAAGGTGTTCTCGCCTGACTTCTTTTCTCCGAGTTGCCCCATGCTGGAGGATCAAGTGCCACTCATGAATCTGATGACTCAGAGTCATCATCCAAAAATGAATATTAAATATAATGAAAACAAACATAGTAAATATTACAAAATTTGGTGCAATTTTCTTGTTTGAATCATTTAGTCTTGTTTGTATTCGCAAATGAGTAAAGAAGTTCACAATGCATTGATTTCCTAGAAGATGGAGACCTTGCTAACAGCTTACAAGGGAAAAACCAGTGATGTCAGTTTGCTACATAATTTTTCTGTTTTGCTCTCACCGAAACATTCATAACATGAGGACTGTGAAAATTTCTCATTGTCAACACAAATGGTCATACTTGTCAATGTAAACAGTGGAGAGATCATTGTAGCAGAAAAAGAGTTATAAGTCTTTAAAGTTTGTTTTTCTATTGTCTCAGAATTGCGAAAACCTGACATCGCTGGTTTTTCCCTTGTGCTCTTCATTTGGTTTCTGACCTCATGGTCTTGGAAGCTCAAAATAGCCCAAAATGTCAGATAGAACTTTGTGATTCTAAGGTAGCATATTGTCAGGTATACCCAAAGAGCCGTCATGCAACTCAACGCTTTACAATGATTATACTGGACTGAATGATGCCTGTCTGTGACTTCAGCATCATATGGCTTTGTATTGTTTGTCTTATCTTTTGGCATCGGTGGTGTAGTGGGTAGGCTCTTGGACTAGCAATCATAAGATCTGGGTTCGAATCCTGTCAGGGGTAGAAAGCTTCTGGGTGTTTTTGGGTCTGCTGGGGTAATAAAATCGATAGTAAAGAGCATATACTTTGCTGTTGAGTGGGGAGATACACTATGCAAATGCTATTTATTATTATTATTATTATTATTATTATTATTATTATTATTATTATAATATTATTATTGTTGTTATTATCATTATTATTGTTGTTGTTGTTATTATTATCATC